CTGGTGGGAACAGCGTCCCAGCCAGCCGCCGAAATGGCGGCCCCACCGCGGCCCCCGCATGCCCTCCGGGCCTCCCCGGCCAGCCCCCCGCAGCGACGATGACGTCCTCTCCTCGCGGCTCCTTCCCGCGCCACAGCTGCTTCAGCAGCAGGCTGCGCACCACGTGGCACCTCCAAAATGGCCGCTCCCGACCACTGCTCCGCCGCGATGGTCAAGATGGCGGCGGCCTGCCACGTGGTCGCTGGATGACCTGTAATGGAGGCCGTCTCCCCAGCGCACCCGATGTCCTCCACTGGTGCGGTAGATACACCAGCCGTGGGCGCAATAACTGGGGCCACGGAGCCCGGGGTCATCCGGTCCCGGGTCGCCGCCTCTGCGTCGTTGGAAGAAGCAACAGGTGGGTTCCGCCTTTTCAAGAGCATCGCCTTGAAAAAGTCCACTTCTGACGCCAGTTGTTGAGGGGTAAATGACGATTCGGAGGCAGATCTTCATGTAGGGGCTTGCGCCAGCTGTTTTATTAAAGACTTATCTTCGGACACGACTCCGTGTACTGCCCCCTCACTGCCTACACTCCACACCCCAGGGTAAGGGTACTGGGGAAGTCCCTAGCACCCGCAGGCTATGATAGCCTGGTGCCAATTTCCCCCTACCCTGGGTCCCATCGCTCCCCCAGGGTAAGGGTACTGGAGAAGTCCCTAGCACACCCCAGGCTCCTGGAGCCTGGTGCTAATTTCCCCCTACCCTGGGTCCCAACTTCCAACTTCACCCGTTCCTGGCTCCCCGCAACGACCACGAACACGTCACCGGTCCCAACCTAAATATCCCAGGGGGACATGTCACTGCCCCGCCCCCTGTCCATGACGTCACCATACGTGACGCCATCGTACCGGAGGGCGAGCGTGACATTACGTCACTAACTCCTACATATGTATGTATGTGTGTCTGTCTGTGTGACTTCATGTCTGTGTGTGCTTGTCTGTGTATGCATCATCATGTATGAAAATATGTTCAGGGGCTAATTGCCAATGTCACAGTCAGTTAGCCATGAGAGCGCATCGTGTAGTTTTGCTATTCCTCCATTGAATGAGTGCAGACTTCAGTGGTTCAATATATGGTCCATAGTTTCGGTTTCATGGCCACAATTGCATTGGTTTGTATTTAGTTCGTTTATGAATATGTGCATATTGGCCTGTTACTATTCTAAAGAAGTTGATGGTACACCGGTAGTTCGATATTTGGGTCTAAAATTAAGTGTTAATTGCGAATGTCCACGTTGTTTCACTGTTTGCCAGCATTCTTCGAGATCTGTGTGAGATTGTAGGATGGTGACAGTGATTCCAGAAGGGCAATCGGGAATCAATTCAGCGCCAATGTACATGTTTAAGGTCTTACAGTGAGGGAAAAAAGTATTTGATCCCCTGCTGATTTTGTACGTTTGCCCACTGACAAAGAAATGATCAGTCTATAATTTTAATGGTAGGTTTATTTGAAGAGTGAGAGACAGGATAACAACTACAAAATCCAGAAAAATGCATGTCAAAAATGTTATAAATTGATTGGCATTTTAATGAGGGAAATAAGTATTTGACCCCCTCTCAATCAGAAAGATTTCTAGCTCCCAGGTGTCTTTTATACAGGTAACGAGCTGAGATTAGGAGCACACTCTGAAAAGGAGTGCTCTTAATCTCAGCTTGTTACCTGTATAAAAGACACCTGTCCACAGAAGCAATCAATCAATCGGATTCCAAACTCTCCACCATGGCCAAGACTAAAGAGCTCTCCAAGGATGTCAGGGACAAGATTGTAGACCTACACAAGGCTGGAATGGGCTACAAGACCATTGCCAAGCAGCTTGGTGAGAAGGTGACAACAGTTGATGCGATTATTTGCAAATGGAAGAAACACAAAAGAACTGTCAATCTCCATTGGCCTGGGGCTCCATGCAAGATCTCACCTCGTGGAGTTGCAATGATCATGAGGCCGGTGAGGAATCAGCCCAGAACTACACTGGAGGATCTTGTCAATGATCTCAAGGTAGATGGGACCACAGTCACCAAGAAAACAATTGGTAACACACTACGCCATGAAGGACTGAAATCCTGCAGCGCCCGCAAGGTCCCCCTGCTCAAGAAAGCACATACATGCCCGTCTGAAGTTTGCCAATGAACATCTGAATGATTCAGAAGACAACTGGGTGAAAGTGTTGTGGTCAGATGAGACCAAAATGGAGCTCTTTGGCATCAACTCAACTCGCCGTGTTTGGAGGAGGAGGAATGCTGCCTATGATCCCAAGAACACCATCCCTACCGTCAAACATGGAGGTGGAAACATTATGCTTTGGGGGTGTTTTTCTGCCAAGGAGACAGGACAACTTCACCGCATCAAAGGGACGATAGACGGGGCCATGTACCGTCAAATCTTGGGTGAGAACCTCCTTCCCTCAGCCAGGGCATTGAAAATGGGTCGTGGATGGGTATTCCAGCATGCCAATGACCCAAAACACACGCCAAGGCAACAAAGGAGTGGCTCAAGAAGAAGCACATTGAGATCCTGGAGTGGCCTAGCCAGTCTCCAGACCTTAATCCCATAGAAAATCTGTGGAGGGAGCTGAAGGTTCGAGTTGCCAAACGTCAGCCTCGAAACCTTAATGACTTGGAGAATATCTGCAAAGAGGAGTGGGACAAAATCCCTCCTGAGATGCATGCAAACCTGGTGGCCAACTACAAGAAACGTCTGACCTCTGTGATTGCCAACAAGGGTTTTGCCCCCAAGTACTAAGTCATGTTTTGCAGAGGGGTAAAATACTTATTTCCCTCATTAAAATGCAAATCAATTTAGAACATTTTTGACATGCGTTTTTCTGGATTTTGTAGTTGTTATTCTGTCTCTCACTGTTCAAATAAACCTACCATTAAAATTATAGACTGATCATTTCTTTGTCAGTGGGCAAACGTACAATATCAGCAGGGGATCAAATACTTTTTTCCCTCACTGTAGTTGATGGGCAAGTTGCCATTGGCTAGAAATCACGTAAACTCCGTTGTAGTTTGAACGTCTCTCTGATGTCGGTTTCAAGTGTTCAGGTTATGATGACCATTGTGGAATTTAATTGTACATCTAGCAGTTGTGTACGAGGTCCCGGACTAGGTTGCAGCACAGCGATTCTGCCGCTGAGTGGATGAGTGAGAGGGTGGCAGTTCGCAGCGCATCAGCTGAGGCACCCCAGGCTGTTCTTACAAGTTTCTGTGGCAGGGCGATTTTTGATTTGGTATTTTCAGATTTGTTTTATGTGGGGATTGAAGGTCAGGCTTCTATCCATGATAACCCCTTGACATCCTGGAGTGGGGTCACAGCTCACTGGGCTACAAGTGACAGCTGTAATTTGCTGACCCGTCCCTATTGGACAACTGTGAAAAAGAGCGTCATGGCTCATCGGATTCCACATGCAGTCTAAATAAAGATTCTGATTCTGAAAAGATTTTGATTCTGCCGGATATATGCCTCCCATAAAGATCAGTTTTTAAAGTGTTGGCCTGTGCAGCAAGGGCTATGTTATCTACAAATATGAACTTGTGCGATGATGTGCACGGCAGTGCACTTATTAGATAATGTGCTGCACTGTAACACCTGCATAAGAGGTGCAATGAGTTGGGAGACTTTTGGGTATTCTCTGGCTGCTACAGCTCTCATCATGTGGCTGCCTTTCTGCGTATCTGTATTTCTCTGTATTATTGTGAGCAAATACTGTTGGCGTTACAAGTTTAAAGTATCATATCAGTGATAAGAATGTCAAGGTCTCAGATACATTAAACACATGCCAGTAATTGGTGATGCTGTGTTGGCAAAAGTGCATGTACACAAAAAAACTCACATTCGTCAAAGGTCATTGAATGTGTTTTTACTTGAGTAGCATTGCTCACAAAGCATTGGATATACAGAAGTGTCAAAACGACTGAGACTAGAGCATTAGATATAATTTTACCATGTTTGAAATGTGTTACCTTAACAAAAGGTTAAAGCTATGTTTTAGATACGTCTGAACACTATTTACAGAATTTTACAGTATCGATGGGATGACTGTGCACAGTCATAGGCTACTGCAGGAAAGTAAGATGAAGCTTGCTACCTGTATGATATTATTAAGCCAATAAATGCATTTTGTTGAATATGGTTTTCATTCCCTTGGCTGACCCTGCCCACTAGTTGCCCTGTGCTAGGGAACCTCTAGGGTGGAAGAGGAAGCCAAGGGTCATCTTGGTTGCATCAGATTGACCGTTCCTCTCAAGATGTAGGGAAAGAATAAGATCTTGCTTTGATGACTTTGCCAGCTAGAACTTTAGAACTAATAAAATTTACAAAAACTGAACAGATTGGATGAAGTGTGTAAAAATATACATATTTAAAACGAGAGTCAAAAAAGGTCACACTTTGGCCAAATGTACTCATGGCAAGATAGAAATGTAATAAAATGTGGAGAGAATGGTGACATTAACGATATTCAGTTAGACTATAGGAATACAATTTTGATTGTATTTACTTGGGCACGTAATTAAAGTGGGACTGAAAGAGAGTTTTGATTCCAGATAATGTCCAGATATTGAACGTTGTCAACCTGTTCAATACGTTTTGAGTCCAGAGCCACAATGCGCATTGGTGGCGAAACAGTTTTGGAGCAGCCGGAGAATAACATAACTTTTGTCTTTTTAACGTTGAGGACCTGTATTAGGGCATTAAGTAGAAATTAAGATAATTGAAATACTGTTGCAGATGAGATATAGCAGAGCTGTATCGACCATGACTAATGATGATAAATATTATTGCAGTATTACACAGTATTTTAAGTAATTTGGAATGGTTTGCTAGTTTGTTTATAGATGTTTCGAGAAAGTGATCTGACAGTTTCTGCTATAAACGCGTTCAAACGGGTAAACCGGAATTAACTGAATACACTTTGATGTCAGACAAACATAACACATCTGCAAAACCTGTACTGTTCACAGGTGGTTGGAATAAATCCAAACAAGACACATACAAGAAGTCCAGTAATACAAAATGTACAGATACAGGACCAGATTATCAATCCAGGTAATGGATGCTACACAATTGTCACGGCAAGTGATGTGGAAATAAGATAATTATAATTTAACAATGCAAAAAAACTCAATGAAAAGGTAATTAATGAAAGAAATATGATTCTAGCATAGTATAGAAAGTAATTCTAAATGCTATACATATAAAGTCATCCGTAATTATCAAAAATATATTATCATTAAACATCAGTTTTCTAGCTAAATATGTAATAATCTGCTGAAACTAAATATATACATACCTTGCAAAACTTCACACGTGAACAAAATACATCTCTCTAACTTGCAATGTACAGGCTATTTCTTCATATTTTATAGTTACAATTTTTACTTTACTCGATCTATCACATTTTATTTAGTAACTTTTTTTTAATTCACCACTACTTATATACTTTAAAACCCTTTAACACGTTTCATTAGTATATTTAGATTTACACTGCTCTACTGTATTATCCTACAAACCTACACTATCTCTGTTGAGCTATGCTGGACTGGTTTGCGATACTGTCTCCATCTCTATCTTGTGTGCACGACTCAGAGCTCTGTCTCTAACCCACTGATGCTCTTCTTCTTGTCTACAGGAAAGTTCGTATTGTCACAGAACATATTATTAAACCATAGCTAACCTTACGTTGTATATTTTAAGATTTAAACAGGTGTTTGTAACGTCTTGCCTTATGGGGCGTCCATAAATGACGTCACGCGATTTTGGACGATTTTTTACCCCCCCTTCGTTTTGTGACGTCACAAAAAGTCAGATCCCCCTTCAAATATGCCGTCACAAAGCTCTGCACCCCCCCCCCCCAAAAAAAAATAAAACATGCTTCAAATCGCTTTAAACAATTGTCATTGTAGCGCGAATTTAATGTGGCACTGCACTCTGCTGTTGTAGGAGAAAAACATTTATTAAAAAGTCTATTTTATTAAGTAGAACGTGTTGTCTATATTTATTTAAAGTTGCGCATTTTGATGTGACGTCAGATTTCTCAAACCCCCCCTGGTCATACATTGTCACAAATGTCTGACCCCCCCCCACCCCAGGTGCGTGACGTCATTTATGGACGGCCCCTTATATTAAATAGTATCTATATACAGTATCATGATTCCATTGTATGTGTGTGTGCTACATAGCGATCGTGTAGTGGTTAGTGTGCCACGCTACGAACCTGGCGACCCTAGTTCGATTCCCGTTAACGGCCAACACCAGTGACAATAATGATCTAAACCGGTCCTGGGCCTCCTAGGCCAACTCAGCCTCAAATGAGTACCTGATGTGATGTGTAAAAACATCGCTACTGGGGAGACAAAGGCGGTCGGGCATGGTACTGGCCACCCACCCCTCGTGTGCCATGCCGAACTTCATAGGTAAATGATGACGGCCGCTTGTGTTGCGATCGAAACGTCATGTGAGTTTTTGGTTGTCTCGAAGACAGCGCTGGAGTGAACACAGCCAAGCTCAGACCGCGACCTTTAAGCTGTGTGAGAGGAATTAAGGTGCCTTGACAAAGGAATTAGCATAAAAAATAGCATTTAATTGGCGACTTAGCATGATGAACGGTGTAGAGGGGGTGAACATGTGCAGGCCGGCGCGGGGGGGGCGGGGGAGTTTACATATTGATGGTGTGAAAAGTTAATTTTAAGAAGCTGCGAAAGTTTGGGGTACCACTACTTGAAAAAATATACTGTACCATTGAAAATTAGTTTAATGTTTGGTTCGATTTAGAACATCTTTCCAATGGTTGCTTAATTTGAAACCATCTTCTCGGTTGAAATTGTGTCTGTGTTTGTAAATCTGAATTGCCTCGTGAACAAATCTCTGATAAAAACCCGTGAGTTTGCAAAGAACCTTGGTATCGGAGAAAATTATATCGTGATCCCCATAGCGTTGTAACAGTGATCAGCTACCGCAGAGGAATTCGTTCTGCCGTGTTTCAAATCTGATTTGTGCTCGCGAATTCGGTCAGAGATATGTCGCTTCGTATCCCCGATATAGCAATCACCGCAGGTACAACTCAATTTGTAAACCCCGGGGTACTGTAAGTCAGGAATGACATCCTTTTCACGGATGGGATCAGATCACGAATTTTGTGTACTGTATTGAACCGGACCTGGATCTTGTGTTTGTTTAGAATTTTGGAAATCTTTTTAGTAACGCCTGCTATATATGGTCGTGTGATGGTTTTGACAGGAGTATCAAGTGGTTGTTTCTGTATGGAGGGAGAAACAGCTTGGCGGATTGTACGGTCAGAGTATCCATTCCTTTTGAGGGCCAGGTGTACATGTGTTAATTCACTGGTCAGGTGGTGTTGGTCCGAAATGCAATGAGCCCTATGGTATAAAGTTTTGATGAGAGAATTATTTTGAGCTGGGTGGTGGTGGGAATCTGGTTTCAAGTAGGAATCTGTGTGGGTGGGTTTCCTGTAGACAGAATGCCCCAATGAGCCATCAGGTCTCCTCTCCAACGTACCTGCTGGGTACTAGTGCATTCCCCCCCCCCCGTGTCCCACACTCAGCTTCCCACTTCTCACCTCCCACTTTCCCCACCCCCCCAGCCTCACGTCTTCTCTCCCTAGCGCTCACGCAGCCCCCCCCTTCGCCCTACCCCACACCCCCCACCCCCCCTCTCTCTCTCTCCCCTTGCCTCCCCCCCCTCTTACCTAGATAACCTCTTGCCACGGCAGCTCTCTCGCCTACTTCAGCATTTTATTGCTGTGGTTGTTCCACCTGATGAAGATTGCTTGTGTTGTGATCGAAATGTCGTGATTTGTTTTGTTCTATTTCTACCTACGTGACTTTACCGAAAGAACCAAAGAATATGGATTCCTGCAGTCACGAACGCTTCAAATCAAGATTGTATGGATCTATGTTGAACTTCTTTGACACCGTACATAGCATTTCTAAAGAAATTAATTTTCAGTCTAGATTTAAAAGTACATAGCTCCAGTGTCTGCCTAATGTCAGAAGAGCATTCTAGAAGGCTACAGAATTGGATTTGAAAGCGGAAAGCGTTAGTTGCGGTGACCATCTTTGTCCAACGGCTAGCCAAAAGCCACTGTGAGGATGACCCGACTTTGCTTGATGGTTTATGCTCCTTGACGGGATCAGATATTGTGGTTCATTTGAGGTAAGAGCTTTGTGAGTAATGAGAGCGGCCTTGTAATTTATGTGTTCGGCAACCAGAAGCCCAATAGAAGCCAATAGAGCTCAGCGAGCACTGGATGGGTAGAGTCGAATATTTCAGTTCCCATAACAATCCGTGATAAATGATGTTGTACACGCTGCAGCTTGGTAATGTTTTGCCAGACATCTCGTAGAGTAGTTAATAATCGAGCCTTGTCGATACTACGCTACACACCAACGTGTTGGCTTTGTCACAACTCAATAGTGGTTAAATGTGTCGAGTCGTGATGAAAATTGCAGGACCTGGCCATATTTTGCACGTGGTGATAAAATTATATAATCTGGTTGAGTATACTTACAAGGCTCTTTAGATGAGTTGAAAACTGAATCCCGGATTCTGCAACTGCCAACCAGTAGAACCTCTAATTTTCCAGGAAAAATAAGCAGCATTTCCTTTAGCGCAAACCACACTGGTAATACACGCGTGCAATCTTCGAGGTTACCGAGCCTCTTCATATCAATTTAACGTAGCTATTTCTGTGACCATGTACAAGCTAATCACTCAGCTATTTCAATGCTAAATTCTATGCTAATTCCTTTGTCAAGGGGTGCCTCTGCGGATGTGTATGCTTTAACTTAGCTATTTCAATGCTAAATTCTATGCTAATTCCTTTATCAAGGGGTGCCTCTGCGGATGTGTATGCTTTAACTTTTAACATAGCTATTTCTGTGACCAGTCACAAGCTAATCACTCAGCCATTTCAATGCAAAATTATATGCTAATTCCTTTGTCAAGGCGCTTTGTTTCCTCTCACACAGCTTAAAGGTCGTGATCTGAACGTGGCTCTTTCACTCCAGCGCTGTCCTACCAGACAGTCTCGTCCCTTCACCTGATGAAGGCCGCTTGTGTTGTGGCCGAAACGTCGTGAGAATATTATTGTGTTATTTTATTTTATCAATTTATTATTTTATTCTCATTCTACGTGACTTTACCGAAAGAACCAAAGAAGATGAATCATTGCAGTCACGAAAGCTTTAAATCTAAATTCAGCATATAGTTATGGAACTTGATATCATGCAATACTATAACATCGGTGATCACAGAGATATATGTTGAAAATAGCAAGGGTCCAAGGATGGACCCCTGTAGTACGCCAACGAGGCACGGCATAGACGATGACTGTTCGTCACCCAGCTTGATGAACTGTGATTGACCATGTCGGGATGACTCAATCCACCCAATGCCGTACCCGATACTCCAAGGCTTGACCTTAGCCATGCAATGGGTATATCATGGTCAATAGTGTCGAAGGCAGCTGAGAGATCGAGGCCAATTAACCCTTTGGTGTAAGAATCAGCCATTTTCTTTTAGAGATCATCAGCAATTTTTCGTAGAGCCACCCCTGTGATTGTAACTTCCAGTACGCTGACTGCAAAGGGCCAAATCTGCCCATCGCAGCGACGTGGGAAGTAACCGCTTTTTAGTCGTGAAGTAGTATGCAAATTGATGTGCTGTGGGATTAGGGGAAGACGGCTGAGAGGGGCGGATGGATGAGATTAAGCGTTCAGAACAGTTGGCGGGTATTAGAGGCAAGGGACAAAATTATAATTAAGTAGTCCTGTTTGGCTACTTCTAAGGTGGCTAGAAAGTGAGTGAAAAGGGAGTCATAGGATGACCAGTTCTAAGCAGATGGGGAGAACTTCCACAATCATTCAGCTTTGCGTAGAGAACGACTATAAGATTTTAAGGGGGGGGGGGTAAACCATGGCTGGAAGAGCTGAGGTGATGGGGACAAGAGGCGTAGGGGGGCTAGGTAGTTGAGGGAAGATAGTACCATATAGAAGGAAGAAGTTGAAGAGTCAGGGCAGAGGGAGGAA